GTACAGTCCTTGAAGCGCTGTGTCAGACACCAAGGCAAAGCTTCCTGCGGTGTTGCACACCTAAAACTCAGCATCTGAGAGGCAGAGACTGACTGCCAAGAACTCAAGTACCACCAGGTCTGCTCGGCTACACAAGAAGTACTTGTGCTTCCCCAAACAAACCAAAACCGCAAGAAGCCTGAATGGAACAGAAAGTGACATTGAAAACAGAAATTCTTTTCTACTCTAGGAATCGATCTTTATCATTCATTCTCTGTAACACGTTTCCTTACTTCCCTGCCCCACTCAAAACGAGTTATCGTTTGTGTGCAGGTATGGGCACGTGCATGCCACAGTGCATATGAACAAATTACTGTGTGCAGATATGGGCACATGCATGCCACAGTGCATATGAACAAATTACTGTGTGCAGATATGGGCACATGCATGCCACAGTGCATATGAACAAATTACTGTATGCAGATATGGGCACATGCATGCCACAGTGCATATGAACAAATTACTGTTTGTGGGCAGATATGGGCACGTGCATGCCACAGTGCATATGAACAAATTACTGTTTGTGTGCAGATATGGGCATGTGCATGCCACAGTGCATATGAACAAGTTACTGTTTGTGAGCAGATATGGGCACATGCATGCCACAGTGCATATGAAGGTTAGAGGTTGACTGGAGTTGGTTCCCTCCTTCCACCTTCATATGATGCCAGGGATGATGGGATGTCCTTCGATCCATCAAACAGACCACCAAGCTCACACAGCTAGGGCTGTGTAACGAGGGTGACCTTGACTTTCTGATTGTCTTGCCTCTACCTTCCTAGAGCTAGGATTGTAGGTGTTGCCTATGTTACCTGCCCAGCTTACATCCTGCCGGGGACTGAACGCAGGCTTCATCCATGTTAGGCAAACACCAACTGGTCCCCTCCTAGCCTGTTCTGGCTCCTTTCTGTCTGTTTACAATGCACTGGTATCTAGCTCTTTCTGTGGCTGTCAATACTCTCACCTGAAGTCCTCCGCTATTTTCTCACCTGTTCAAACATTTAGTCGCTCCTCCCCTTTAAATTTATGATCGGGAAACTAGGTCAGAGTTGATGGAAAAGTTTTTTTTTATGCGGCGTGGTTCCCAGGGACTTGAGGGGTGGAGCAGATACAAGAGCAAGAGAGAGGGCCAGGCTAAGGATGGAGAGCCAGGGAGGCCTGCGCCTGGGTATTTGTGTACACAGTCTAATTACTCAGATTTGATATCAGTGGCCAGGAGAGGATAGCTACGCCCCAGGCCACTTAAGAGATTCGAGCTTGTAAGAGGCAGAACAGACACCCCCTCTCCTGATACCCTAACCCCCATTCTCACCCCATCTGCCACCGTCTACAGGATTTCATTTTTCTTTTTGAGACTGGTCTCACTCTGTCACCCAAACTAGCCTGGGACTCATTATTGTGCAGCCTGGCAACCCTATTGCCTCAACCTCTGAGCACCAGGCTTCTAGGTGTGAGACACCACAAGTGACCAAAGGAGTGTTCTCTGGTGATGGGGTTGTTGTGTCGAGTACATCAGCCACGAGCCGTGTGGAGCTGTCGGACTGTGACTGGAAAATGGAATTTTTAATTGTGTGTAATTAATTTAAGCTTAAATAGCATGGTGTCAGGGGCCACTGCCATATCGCGTAGCGCAGCTAACTCTGAGGAAGGAAGTTGCCAGAACTACTCCCCAAGAGGAAACCCATCCCTCCTGAGAGCACAGAAGGCTCCACTTCACTTCCTTTTGCTGTCTCTACACAATTCTGCCTCAGCCTGGGTCATTTTCCGTCTGCAGGCACCCTTAGTGCCACTTCCCCAGGACTGGGGCAGCTGTTTCCCCACTTAATGCTGGGGCTTCTTTTCTCACGCATCTGCCTTCCGATCTTTAAAGAGCTACAACCAACCTGTACAGCCAGGGACAGAGAGCAAGTTCTGAGTGTTATTTCTTCGTTAGGCCCAACCTAGTACTGGAAGATCTGAGAAAAGCCAAAAAGAAAGTTAAAGAGAGATGGGGGAAAATACCCCAAAGAAAATAAAATCAGTAGCAGGGCCTGGTGGCTCAGGCCTGTAGTCCTACCCCTACTGAGGCAAATGGACTAAAAGTTCACAGCAAAGCTTTTTTTTTTTTTTTTTTAAGACTAGAGATGAAGCTCAGTTGGTAAATTCTTGGCCTAAAATGGACAAAGTGAAAACCTTGAGTTGGATCCTCAGTACAGTATACAAAAGGCTTGGAGGCTCACACCAGTCATCTCAGAAGTTGGGAGGCAGAGGCAGGAAGATCCCAGATATTCAAGGTATGCTCAGCTCTCTTGTGAGTTTGAGCCAGCCTGGGATACATGAGATCTTCTCTTTAAAAATGAGACAGAAGAACCAGTATGGGGCTGGTGAGATGGCTCAGTGGTTAAGAGCACTGACTGCTCCTCCATATGGACCTGGGTTCAATTCCCAGCACCCACAAGGCAGCTCGTAGCTGTCTGTAAATCCAGTTCAAGAGAATCTGACATCATTATACCAATGTGCATGAAATAAAGTTAAATAAAGTTTTTTTTTTTTTAAAGAAGAACCAGTATATCCAGGCCATCCTCAGCTACATAGAGGTGAGTTGAGGCCAGCCTGGGCTACAAAACAACAGCTACAAGTAGTTACTTCAAAAAACAAAGAGCCTTCTTTGACATAAGGAAAATGTAAGGATCCAACTAGAGTTGGGGCATTGAGAGAGAAAGGTGTGGAGAGAGAACATAAATCAGCAATACGGTCAACAAGAAATAATCACACACAGCTAGTGACACTGACTAGCCCCTGCATCAGGGCACGCATGTGTGTGTGTGTGTGTGTGTGTGTATGTGTGTATGTATAAGTATGTGTGTATATGTGTGTATGTGTGTGAGTATGTGTGTATGTGTGTGCACGTGCATGCACATGCATGCACATCTGCAGGCACTGTGGCACACCTGTGGAAGTCAAAGAACAACTTATGAGCAGCTGGTTTTTTCCTTCCATGTGAGCAGTGGCGATGACTCCAGTCATCAGACCTGGTGGCAGATGCCTTTATCCACTTATCTCAATGCATTATCTCATTAGCCCCACTCCCGTGTTAGTAATCTTCACGACACCTTTGAGATCATCTGTACTTCTGGCTTTCATTTTACAGATGAACAGTCTGAGCTAGGGGTGGTAACATATGTCTACAATTCCAGCATTTGGGAAGCAAGAGGATTATGAGGTTGAGGTCAGTGTGGGCTATCTAGCAAGACTCTTTCTTCAAAATAACACAGGCATGCACACACACACACACACACACACACACACACACACACACTGGAAATGTGATTCACATCTGTAACCCCAGTAATCAGGAACATGAGGCAGGAGGATTGAGGCAAGTGTGAGGCCAGTCCAGTTTACATAGTGGCATTCTGTCTTAAAAATATAAAAAGAAGCCAGGCAGTGGTGGCGCATGCCTTTAATCCCAGCACTTGGGAGGTAGAGGCAGGCGGATCTCTGTGAATTTGAGGCTAACCTGATCTACAAGAGCTAGTTTCAGTTCTAGGACAGGCTCCAAATCTAAAGAGAAACCCTGTCTCAAAAACCAAAAACAAGGAACTGGAGAGATGGCTCAGAGGTTAAGAGCACTGCCTGATCTTCCAAAGGTCATGAGTTCAATTCCCAGCAACCATCTGTAATGAGATCTGGTGCCTTCTTCTGACTTGCAGCATGCAGAACACTGTATACATAATAAAGAAACCTAAAACAAGCAAACAAACAAAAAGAACAAGCTAGGCAGTGGTGGTGCATGCCTTTAATCCCAGCACTCGGGAGGCAGAAACAAGTGGCTCTCTATGAGTTCGAGGCCAATCTGGTGTACAGAATGAGTTCCAGGAGCCAAAAAGCTACAGAGAAACCCTGTCTCAAAAAACAAAACAGAACAAACAAACTATAAACAAACAAACTGTATATGTGTGTGTGTGGTTATATGATATATGTATATATATGCGATATGATATATATGTGTATATATATATATATTCCACAAAGTAAATGACAATAAGTTAGGGGTGGGAAGATACTTTAGTTAAACCACATATTAGTTTAACCCATCTTCATTAATGTGTATTGCCACTTGACTGTGGCTTATCAGCATGAGTCTAACCAGCATCCATCTCGGGCAGGAGAACCATGGCATCTGCCACATTGCCCTTCTTCCCAGCACTCAGTTCCACCAATCTAAGTTCTGCCCTATCAAAAGGCCAAAGCAGTTTCTTTATTAAACCAATGAAAGCAACACATAGACAGAAGGACCTCCTATACCATTGAGCTCCAGATTCAGTGAAAGACTTTGCCCCCAAAATAAGATAGAGATTGTAAGAGAAAGATGCCTGACCTTGTCCCCTGGCCACCATGGGTGTACACACATGTACTGGATTCCCAGTACCCTGTGGCAACTCCCAAGCCTCTTTAACTCCTGTTCCTGGAGATCTGAGGCGCCTTTCTAGCTTCCAAGGACACCGGGAAGACACACAGAGCACAGACATACAGGCAGACACAGCCACGCACAAAGAATAAAAGAGACAAAACTTTAAGCAAAGCAATAGCAAATGTACTGCCTTTGGCGTGGAGTTTAAACAAGCTGCCCTAAGTCCCATGGCCGCAGGAGACACAGGAGGTGTGGAATTCAGTTTGGCTCCAGGCTCTGTGTTCTCAATAACCGTTTCTTCTCAGCACTTGTGCTGGATAGGTTTTTTTTTTTTTTTTCCACTTGACCGTAACTAAGGTCATCTGGGAGGAGGGAACCTTAACTAAGGAGATGCCTCCGTCAGGTTGGCCTGTAGGCAGGTCTGTGGGGGCATTTTGATTAATGATTGATGTGGGAGGACCCAGCCCAGTGTGGGTGGTGCCATCTCTGGGCTCATGGTAATGAGATATTAGAGGAAAGCGAGCCTAATAAGCCGGGGAACAAGCCAATAAGCAGCGTTCCTCCACGGTTCTGCTTCTGCCTCCAGGCGCCTGCCCTGCCCTCCCTCAATGAGGCCTGAGCTCTGGACGCATAAGCCAAATAAAACCCTTTTCTCCCCCAGTTGCTTGCGGTGTTTATTGCAGCAATAGAGGATAAACTAAGACAGGACAATATCCGAAGGCTCACCACTGAACTCTTTCCAGGTCTTAGACTCATCACTTATTGGGCCAAGGCCTGCAACCCTAGATCTGTAGCCATCTCTGGAAGAAGGCTCCAACCCCAGAAATGCTGTGTTCAGAAGGTCAACATGGAGCAGGGTAAGATTTTCTTCCCGTCAGGCAGTTAGAATAGAAGGGCCAGTTGAATGTATTCTTTATTTCCCTTCTGTATTCTGTCACCTAGAGGTGATTCGAGAAAAAAAACCTCTAGCAGGACTCTGTGGATTGCTCAAAGATGGGCTGGAGAGGCAGCTCAATCAGGAACGTGCTGAGTGATTTCCTACTGCAATGCTAGCCATACAAGTATGAGGATCTGCGTTAGGTCCCCCCAAAACCTACTTAAAAAGCAGGACAACGCTAATGTTTATAATCCAGAGGTGGGGAAGTGGAGACAGGGGGAGCCCTGGTGATTCCTAGCCAGCTAGAGTAGCCTACTTAGTGAATGTCACACTCTGATCTGAGACATCCTAGCTTTAAAAAAAAAAATGTGGACAAAACAACAACACCCAAGTTGTGCTCATCAGAGGCACACACACACACACACACACACACACACACACACACACACACGCGTGCCCTGATGCAGGGACTAGAGAAATGGCTCAGTGGTTAAGAATACTTGCTGCCCTTCAGATGATCTGATTTAGTTCCCACATCAGTGGCTCACACACTCCAGCTCCAAGGGATTTGAAGCCCTCTTCTGGCCTCCTTGAACATCACAGACATGTGGTATTCACTCACACAGACACAGACACAGACACACACACACACACACACACACACACATACAGTGTAGTAAGTGGAGAATATATCTGGGTACTGTTAGAACAAAACCAGTGTTTATTACTCAAAATAAGAGCAGCCTGGGCAGAGTGGTGCACCCCTATAATCCCAGAAGACAGCCTACTCCCGCAAACTGTTCTCTGACCGCCACGAGTACACTGGAACTGAATCTTCTAACCGCTCCAGTTTATACATTTAGGGAAAATGCATCAAATAGTGTGGTAAACTGAGGAACAGAGAATGCAGACAATGTAAGACTAGAGAGGTCTTGAATTTCTTTTTTTCTTTTTTTACATTTCTTTTTATTATTATTAATCTTTATTATATAAATGAAAACAACTTTGGTTTTGAGACAGGATTTTTCTGTGTAACCCTGGTTATGCTAGAACTCACTCTGTAGACCAGGCTGGGCTCAAACTCAGAGATCCCCCTGCCTCTGCCTCCTGAGAGCTGGGATTAAAGGTGTGCACCACCACCACCTGGCTCTTTTTAATTTTTTAGCTGTATGAGTTTTTATCTGCATGTATGTATGTGCATGTATGCCTGGTGCCTGCAGAGGTCAAACGGGGCCTAGAACTGGAGTTACAGATGGCTATATGTGTGTGAGAACAGAACCTGATCCTCTTCAAGAATAATAGGTGCTCTTAATCTCAGGGCCCTCTCTCCAGCCTTCGAATTCCGTTTTCTAAGGTCTTTGATCTAGTTGGGTAGTACAAGGATCAGAGGTATTGAGACTACCCATGACGCCCAGTTTAGTTGATCCAGACTGTTCTTGTCCCATCCTGACCTTTCACTGGGTTTGGCCCTTTCTATTCTTTCTTTAGCTCGTTATGTAGAGAGAAAAGAATGAACAAACTCAGTACTGAGATTTTTCTGTGTACCGCTTGCTTGCTCATCTCCAGGCAACAGAGCGATGGAGCGAGAAAGACAGAACATGGGGACAGGATTGTGAATTCCACATGACCGAGTCTTGGGATGTCAAGTGAGGTCCATTCTCTGTCTTTTTTTGGGTGACGGAACTGCTGACTAGACGGACATCTTCAACTCAACTAAGTGTCAGCAAACAGGTTGGAAATGTCTGGCTAGGTGCTCACCGGGGCTATTTTTAACCTCCTGGGCAGACGGAGAGGGAAAGGGTTTCGGTTACTCAGAGAGGAGGTAAATTGAGGGGCTTCCTTTATATATCTCTATGGATGAAGACCCCTCCACTTAACATCCCCCCACCCGAATTCATGACCAGTCTTTGTGTCCTGCCCTGTCCCTTTCTCTCCATTGTCTTTCATCCTTGCCTCATCTTCCAGTTGCAGAAACTTTGCTTCCTGTTCCACACTCAGATTGTTTCCCCCTCCAAGACTCTGTAGAACAGTGAGAGTGGGGTTGGGCAGAAAGTGATGTCTCGTTTTCTCTCCATGGAGGAAGAGGTAGCCTGGTTGGGTGGCAGCTAAGTTCTACCTCCCTGCCAGGCCTGCAGGAGGGCTCCAAACTCTCCTGAAACCTCAGGGACCCTACTGTCCCTATTCTTAGGAATAGAATTCAAGACTGAAAACCCAGGTTTGGGCTTCATATGCCTTGAGAAAGTAGAAAAGATGCCCATGGAGGTCAGAGAGATTGAAAATGATGACATGTTGGTACTGCCGCCCAGAAAACTGGCTCCCATGGAGTTGGAAGAGCTGGGGCAGTGAGCCAAGGGCAAGCCTAAGAGATCCTGTCGACTATGGGCAGGGGGTCCTGGAAAGTGGGCATGAAGATGAGTGGGGAAGAGAAAGGTTATGGAACTTCTCAATGTGGTCTTCGTCTTCTCTTGGCCTTCTTTTTTAAACCGTGCATGAGTATCCTCCTCTCCTTTTGGTCCTTCCTGTGCCTCAGCATCTCTTCCCATCCGCTCTACCCTGTTTTGTGGTAAAGGAAGGAATCCTTGACACAGATGCTCCAAGGTTTCTGGGAAGCCTGCAGGGAAATGGAATTTCTGCTTGTGATAGATCCCAGCATAAACACACTGATTTGTGTTTCTCTTCCTGTATCTTGATTTTAGCTGAAGTTGACTAAATGAAGCACAAACAGAGGAAACGCTAAGCCAGAGGCAGAACACTAGCCAAAACAGCTTACTGAAGTTTAGAAGCCTGTAAAGTTCCTTCCTAAAGGTTTGAATTGGTTGAAAACATTGGAAACCATATTTCCACATTTTAGGGGCCTGGTGTGGCATTGCATTCCTGTAGTCCCAGCATTTGGAAGCATGAGACAGGAAGATTGATAGTTACAGGCCACAACTGGCAACACAAGCTGCTCTCAGATGTTGGAGAGAGAGAGAGAGAGAGAGAGAGAGAGAGAGAGAGAGAGAGAGAGAGA